TTTTTGTCATTATAATTAGAGAGTAACCAAATTCAAACAATCGGGGTATTTTAATTATTCAAACAAAATGTATTTAATTTTAGGGGTATTTTTATCCTTATAATTAGTCAAACAAAAATTATACACTCTCATTCACACATTTAATAGTAGTATAGATTCACATAAATAATTATAGATGTTAGAAAAAATGGGATTGAATGGGGAAAATGATAGTTTAAACACTTGTATTTAATTTTAGGGTAATTCTCTTAAAACCTCAATTGGGTTTTTCGAAAAGGTCTTAAACCTCCCCTCAACTTTGACCTGCCCCTTAAACTTCTCATGACCTCTAGAGATAAAGGGATTTATATTACTTTACCATTAGAAATATAAAAACAACTATTGATGTCACGGATTTGAACATATTATAATGCCAATTTTGTCCTTAAAAAATCAATTAAATCTTTAAGAAAAAAACCTTAAACATCTCTTTACCCAAAACGACTTTGTTTATTCTATAAAAACGAAATACTAAAACATATTTATTCGTATTAGTGGTTTACGGGTAAAGTTAAAATTATAAACAATCTATTAACTTGATACAAGAATTAGTATGGGCATAATAGACATTTCATGTCTTTGTCCACTTAAAATTAACAAAAGGTGTGTATAAGTCCTTTTATCCTTAAAATATAGGTAAATTTAAAGGTAGATCAAAGTTGAGGTGAGGTTTAAGGCCTTTTAGAAAACCAAGGGGAGGTATTTCCTACACAGGTAGGTTTAGTTACCTGTATTCTTTTGATTATCAAGTAAGTTATACACCGACTTTTTTACCTACAAAAAAGTTGTTGTTAGATTGGACAAACTTGTCCCATTATGTTTGTAAACTTTTCCACTTGGTGGAAAAGTTATTTATCCACTTAGAAGATGGGTGTCCTTTAATTGATACTTAGGGTTATTCATTTTTCAATAAATGGGGGTGGATTCCATGAAAAGAAACCCATGCTTGTATTTCAAGATTGGTGGGTCCCATGGAAAACTCTTGATCGGCTCATTTACCTGGGTATGTATTACCCTCTTGAGATTTGGGTAAATAACTTTCTTGGTGTGGAAATTTGTTAAAGTGTGATGGGACAACATTGTTCCTTCATTAATGATTATTTTATGGATAAAATGGTTATCATAGGAAATAAAAATAACACTAGTAAGTGTACTTATCCGAATAAGTATATCCCAAGAAACACTTGTCTAGATAAGTACATTTATACATATAAATGATTTATCAAAAAACAAACAAAGTCTCTTAAGAAAATAGCTTTACCGCAAGACCCACAACTTACTAGAAAAAAGTAAAGTTGTTCAATGAAAACCAATTTCCTATCGATCAACTCTCCCCTCCTATTTTTCGAAAAACTAATGTTTGAGTTTGGGCTTGGGTGGGTATAGTCCCAACAACTATTGCAGTTATGTATCAGGAACATCTAGCTACAATGGATCTTAGGATTAGATACAAACTTAAAAATGAGTTGGGATCTACTGCCACACCAACCTCACATAGGGGTGCAATCGAGCCAAGTTGATTCGAACTTTGGCATGTCTTGGCTTAGCTTGATTAAAACACTACTACTAGGTTCGAGTTGGAGCTCGAGTTCGACTTGTGAAGGGATGAGAGATCCATCCTATAGACGCCCAAAGATTGCGGAATAAGGGGCGAATTTCAAAAAATTTATCTCTCCCTTCAATTGGGAATTGTATTCCCTATTTAGAAAATCATATTTTCAAGGATCAATCTTGAACCATAAACTGAACCAGATCTGAACCAAAAGGAGTGGGAGAGGATTATACCT